ATTCAAAGGCAGTGATTCCCATCCTGCTTAAGCGTAACGTCAGTGTTCTGTTCACTCATTATGCGTTAGGTGGAAAGTTGAAATTTATCAAGATTTTCAATAGCTTTTATGTTTTTTTTTAAATTTCTTTCTTGCCGACACCTGTTACACACGATACCGAACTCTCGCGTTGCCCAAATGTAGGCTACTGCAATGCCCTAGACATCTGTAAAAGATGAAACGAATTCAGTTTATCGGTTTGTAGAACAAGTCGAGCTACTATTGCTAGTTACCGGTTATAACCACTCCATAGGTCGTTGATTAAAGTTAGATCAATCAGGGCACGATCTATTACGTTAATTCTGTCATACTCTTAGCGAAGCCACGAAGCGACGGTCATATTAAGTGTCCTTATAAATGTGAGGCAGCCGTTTTTACCATTCTAATTAGTTGTTATTACGCTAAACAGTTTTGTGATTCAACCTTTTCCACCATCAAAGTTGTCATTGGTTGATGTGAAATAAACGCACGGGTCCATTTAGAGATGTGAAAATTTTAGCGGAAACCAGATGCATGTGAGGCAGACTGTATGTATTACACACACAGTTGTCAATCGATGATACGGTACCACGGCTGACAAGATTTTAATCTGAACCACGAACGAATCAAGGTGATTCACTGCACATCCACGTCACCTCACCCTGTCTAAACCTGTTCAGTGAACACAGGCGAATGCGCCACCTGTAGGACATGAACGCCAAGCAACTCAGGACTGTTCACGGAGTCTGTGAGCTAGAATGGGAATCCTAAATCGACCATGCAATAAAAACACTTACGCCGGCTAGTGTACAGTTACACTGAATTGGTTAACAAACCAGAAATTCGACCTCACGTGCGCCATCGATAACCGGGTCCGGGAGATACATCTGCTCACGTCTCAAAGTGGACACAGTAATTGTGTGCTTTCTTACAAGTTGGACGTACCGGATGGCACTGCCGGCCAAAAATGATGGCAGGACAAAAAAGCAGTAATTACAGTCTAAGACGATGATCACGGACCAAAAGTTACGATTGTCGGTCTGTGAGAGTGAGCGAAATGTTAACATATCGCAATATATGTCTTCTTTCTGCTCTGATGAAGTGGTTAAAAAGAACTCAATGTTTCAAAGCTAAGTAATTGACAGAATTTCAGCAGTTGACGCCTTCAGTTTGTCGACTTAGGATGCTGGTGACAACAACCGAAAGTGAGAGTAGACCGAATGTTGCGATTCAACCTAAGTCTTGTGTAGGTATGTTCAAGTTCGTTCGGAGTCTCATGGAAATATGCACCCAACTTAAGTGTGTAGAATGTTCCTTGTTACACAGGTCTCCGAACGAACACCTTTTCGCGATTATGCGTCTGAGCAGCAATGATACACCAAAACAATGCGACCTACCACGCGACGCGCGTTAACCCGCAGTCGATACCCGTATTATTCAGTTCTTTCATTGAAAAGATCCAGTAAGAACAAAACAATGTCTCCTCAAATGTGTATACTTCACGTCCTTCTTGTACAACTGAGCATTGCCTCGTAGATCTTCAGCCTCACAACATGACACGGATTTGAACCACATCATCACGTGGTAAGCCTATAGTGTCCCCAGGTTCAGGAACGCGTACTCATCGTTAAGGTGATCTAAATAAGCCATCTTTTAAGTCGTCTCAAGTAAGTTTACAACACGTCAGGCCGTAAACTGTGGTCACCAGGTGTTAGTACGTTTCCAGCGGACAAATCAATACAACAGAGCGCTAAAGTTGAGAAGTTTTCTTGAACTACAGTAACACGATGGCTAATTACTGTCTGGATAAAAGTCCGGCCGATTTGATAAAAAGGCTGACTATTATCCTGCACTACTGTTGAATAATTTGGACTTACAAAATTGAAGGTGGTCGAGAAAATAATGACTAAAAGAAGCAGATAACCTCTACGGTAACTAATTAGAACTAGCACGATTACGACCCCTTCATTCCGTGGCACATGACACATTGTCTCATTTACTTGAGGCAGTAATAAGGTAAACTGGGTTTCAAATTTGAGCTACAATTACGAGTAGCAGTAAACTTAATTGCTTGATTCATAGTGATTGGGATATGTTCGATTGTATAGTCAACCAGCACACGTATCCTCAGAATCTGTCCTTGATACCAGACGAACTACCTGACGCAAGAAACAATTAGTCCCAATTGATATAACGGTCAGATTAAGTTGTAGCCAGTCAGTCCGAAAGTTAGTTAATGAACCCATTCGTGTAGTGACTAAGCACTAGATCAGTAGTAACAAAATGAACGTGACAGCCAACGATGATGTGTGCATCAATCACCATGACTAACCAGGAAGCGTGTGAGTGGTAACACATCAAACATGATGATTTACAAGAAAAAAGTACCCCCATTTTTGCCCCAGGAGACATTCAGAGGTTGAAAACTACCATTAGACAACACAGTCGAATAAATCTGACGGATGACTGACCACATGTTTGTCGGGCCAGCCGATGGACTGAGTGAGTGCTATAGAGAGCAACACGAAAGCAATGTTCGGCATTCCATGTGAGAAGGCGAGCGGCAAACACTTAGATTTGTATACGTCGAGATGAAAAATTATGACTGACGAAGGTGAACTGGATGATTTGTAATTACGGGTGCGGGTTGTTTGGGTAATAGGGCCAAACAATTAGCCACGCGGCCTTACTGATATGGTCAGGGTAGGATAGGTCGAAGCAGATTTGAGTTTGCGAAAAAATATCACAACGGAACCGAACTGTCATTTTGTTATTGTGTTGATGGGGTTGGATCGAGCAACGTCGGGTCGTTTTGGGCTGACGTCACCAACGTGCGTGAGGAAGGTATATAATCAAGTTCAGACAGCCCATTCTCAAAGTGGTAGACAGTAGCTACCGTCGACACGAACGTATCAGAGTTGAGAACACCTTAATGTATGCGAGTTAGATGCTGGCTTGAAACAAGTACTTTCATCCAGTACGTCTTACACAACTATGGTTAGGCAATACCATTTTGTAAACGATTGGCAATTGTTACGAAATGTAAAGGACCATTAAAATTTACAACCACTCACAGACCGTGTTGGAAATCTTTTGGTGGCTTAGTCTTTACTCATAAGCTTTATGAAAGGAAACATTCTTCTGATTTCATCTGGAGTGTCAAGACTGGAGCAACTATCCTCAAAGGCACCATATGTCGACAGAGATTTTCCTAGCCAAATAGGTCAAAGGTAGGTCTTAAACCATTGTGCTTACTTGAGTGAAATTTTGGATACCTATACTGCAATTTGCACAAGAATATAAAACCTTGAAGTCATACTGATCATCAATGGACATCTATTACATCGGACAGTTCATCGCGAACTCGTTTGTTATTATGTGTCAAACAAATCTGTTAAATTCGGCATCATATTATGAATGGTTTTCGACCATACAGAGGTATATGTCTACAAAGTTTTGTCATATGTTGGCTCCTGTAAAGTTCCTTCTTCGAGGTGATCGCTGTTTGTCTACTTACATAGACTTGAAGTCAGTGAATAACCTGTTATATCAAAGATGTCAGATACATGTTTCACAGATCCTTCAGTAGCGGCTGTTTTGCTGAAGAAGACCAACTATCTGAGCAACAGCGAATGGCAAAACCCTTCGCAGAAGTGAACATGTTACGCGGGACAGTTTTCTATCCATATGATATCAACCAACAGCCATCACCTAAACCACATAAATGTCCGAATATAGTATATTTCATAAGGTAGGGGTCAGTAATTGGTTTCATAGAAAGAATAAAAACGAGGTCGATATGATAGACAGTATACCACAAATGCACAGCTAACAGTGCTCGTCATGATGACGGCTTGCACTTACTTGTGCGGACAATCTGGACTTAGCGGATTTCAATGTTTGGATTTGTTACAGTTTGTTACGAATACCTCATTTGGCAATAAACATCTGCTGATTGATCAGCTACGCGAAAAAAACAAGTTCTCGTGGAATGTTCTACTTTTTTCTTTACAACCCAATACTGTGTCTGGTAGAGCAATAAAGTGTGGATTTACGACTTGTGAGCCGGAATACGCTTTTAACTTACATCAACACCATAAACTGGAAAACATTTCTGACCGTTGATTATGAAAATTAACTTTCCATATGTTTTACTAAACTCATTGAACAATTTATTACCTTTTCATCTATTAAACTCAACTGAAGTAATGTTAAGACGGAATATGACTGTACATAATGCTGATAGTGTTTCAAATTTAGTTCCAGAGTTTTCAAGCTTAGAAAATTGGTTTTATTGTAGTTTATGAGGAATTTCAGGGTTATTTGTAAACTGGTCTATTTCTTTTCGATACAATCTGCAAAGTAAGTATAAGAGTAAAGACCAAATTTGATCGCCGACAGATCGATAATCATATCTGCACTGACATAGTTGTATATTAGTTACAGTCGGCTAAAGATAGATAGAGAGATCACTTTTGTTCGTTTTCTGTAGTGAAAATCATGGTTTTAAGTGTAGAATCCTTTCAGACTAAGTTCAGTTTGATGACTTTTCGAAATGTAATCTGACTGGAAACGTTGGACATTAACGTGATATTCATGGTATTGTACCACTACTGCGACTGCTTTTCGCTGCCTCAGCCGTGTCAGGTACGTTTGCTGTTGAAAAGACTGATTGCACACAACAGATTTCCTTTAGTTCTGCCAAATTATGGATTGTCATACTATATATACATATAGCATAACTTGGCAGAACTATAGGAAATCTCGCATGTTAAATGATTTACAGAGTGGTTCTCAGTGAGTAAAAATGATCAGCAGACCAACTTATATGCTCAACAGTGATGTTGGTGGATTCCAGCACAAACCCTTTGGGAAATCCGACAGGGGCAGTTGATCCCCTGGATCGTTTGGTGGATTACAAATGAGACGGTTAGACGAGTGGGTAACCGAGTCCAAATGTGAAATTTCCGAGCTCCTAGCCTGGCTTCGTAGCTCAGCTGGTAGAGCGCTTCCCACGTTGAGGGGTGGTGTTTATGTCGCTTGTTCGAACCCAGCCGAAGCTCTGACTTCTCACAATTGGGTCTCAAGTAACATCATAAATCTGCCAAACTTAATGTTAGTAATAAAATATGAAAGATGGAGGAAAGTA